CCACGTTTCATCCAGGTAAATCAGATTTCTTTTCTGCTCTTATAGATTTTAACTTTGTGTAAAAATTCTTGGCGCAATTCAACGATTCGAGACGACTCCATAATCACCATTCTTTCATCTAATTTTTTGTATTGAAAACCACACAGTTTTACAATACAGTGCAGTGAGTCTAAGCATTTGTAATTATAAAAATCTTCAGGATAAGCTTTTAATTTATCCCGTATCATTTCCAACGTGGGCACCAAATTTTCTTTATAAAATCCGTATATTATACGACGAATATCTTCCTGAAAACCCACGTCTATTCTTTTTCATTTTTACCCTATGCTCTTTCTGTGGAAGGAATGGTTGACTACATCTCGCCTTTTTATAACCCGATAAATGGTAGACCGACTGATTTTTGTCAGGATACAAATTCTGTTTAAAATTTGATTTTGCGAGGAATCTGGATTTTCGTTTTTCAGACAATCATACGTATTTAGGATTACTATTTGGGTCTGTTCCTCTAAATCTTTATGAAAGAATTCTGCCTGCACAGGTTCATCAACCATCTCCTCGTGGCTTGGAGCATTTTCCCAAGGTCTCCAAAGAGCCATATTTAGGACACACAAGAACAATCAACACAACAATTAAATCAACAACTAAACTGAGTATTCAAAAGTTAAAAACACACAAACTAATAAAATCTATGAAAAAACACGGACAGACTAAAGAAAACACGTTTATTCACCGCTACACGGCACTGGCTAAACTGTTTCAATTTTCAGTAGCCACCTGCACTTTTTCGGAGCTCTGAAATACACGCTTTCTCATTGGCTATGTCCATGCATAGGCGTGCTTTACTCCACGTGGACCGGTGAAACTGCCTTTGATCTTATACGGGGGATATTTGCTGCGAAATTTGGCGATTTTTGCAGCAACAGAGCGTGTTAAATATAGATATATAAAACGCACCCGGTATTTCACAGTGTTTCAAGTGACTTCAGATAAAGTATACCTCCCGTATTACTGACTCATCACATGCACAAATCTACTACCCTCGGATTAAGTTAATTACCAACCGCCATCTGTTACCAGAATCAACCACAGTGAAAGCGAATAGCAGCTATCGGTTGAAACTATAAACATCTTGTTGGCGATTCATAGCCCAGTCAAACTGTGACCGCAAGAAGCTGACGATTTTGGCGGTATAGTAAATGCGTTCTACAATTAATCATATAGCGTCCGATCACAGACATCTAACCATGAACAGCTATTTTATGCTTTCTGGATATTCATCAGCGTTTACATTATCGTCTAGAACGCCGAAGGACCTGGGACAGATTTGGGTGGAATTCGAATACTGAAATCCGGTATTCGAATACGAATCCTGAATACTGTATCTTAAATTGTATTCGAGTACTCAAAGATTCGAATACAAAGAAAAAATGTATACGAATACTCAAGATTCGAATACAAAGGAAATATGTATTCGAATACCGCTGTTTTGAATACCTGGATTCATTTAAATATTAATTCTTTTTGAATATCCCAATTAAAAAAACATATTCATACTTTAAACTTGATTTTTGTTTCTGTACTTATACAGGGTGTTTCAGTTTATTGTTGCATAACTTTAAGATTCGATAGAACTTTTAAAATTAATGCATAAAGTCTATATAAACATGGGTCGAAAAATGCGTGGCTTCCGAAATACAGGGTGTTTAAATTTACTTTTTAAAATAGTTTTTTTTTAAATATTTCGAACAATATTTGATGTATAACAGTGAAAATTGTTATACAAGGGTTTTTTGGTACGACAAAACGAATCATGGGCATAGTTTTACTGTAGCCGCTAGAGGGCGCTCTCTACTGTACATGTAGTGTATTAAAATGACTGAAAATTTTTTCTTAGTGCAATTTTTTGCTTTTTGAATAAAAAAACTGATTCTTCGCACTTTTCTGCATAAAAAAGCTCTCCTGTGAGTTTTTGTTATAGTTAGCCGTTTTTTAGATATTTCGATTTTTAAGGTTCGATGCATTTTTAATTATTTATGGGAAAATAATATTTTTTTTACATTTTTGGTTTGGGCATTATAAGTAATTAAGATGATCGTTTAGATTGTGTTTTTAAACACAGAAATAATTCCTAACGCCAAATAAACACAAAAAAACAGAATATTAATTTGTGTAATTTTCCAATATTATTTTTAACAAATTAAATTAATTATTTACAACTAAAATTTCTGATTCTGTCTATTAGCATATCTCTTGTGGTTACGGGAGTCTGGTACACTTTTTCTTTTAGAAATCCCCACACAAAGAAATCTAATGGATTTAGGTCGTGGGATCGTGGAGGCCAGGCGACTGGTCCTCCACGGCCGATCCATCTTCCTGGATAATTTTTCTAACTATATTCGAATAATGAGCTGGACAACCATCAAGCTGGAACCAGGCCAATCTTCTTAAATCTAACATAACATCATCTCTATTGAATAAAACTTAAAATAACATTTTGATACACAGCTTTACAATGAGGCTAGACAAATTACTTGTATAAAGACACATTCTTTGATTTTTATTAGATTTTTATAGAAAATTAATAAAAGAAAGTATATACATACATCTTACACGATGTACCTAATACAAAGTGGGTATATTGAGATGCAGAAACGCTATTCAGAATCCTGAATACAGAGTACTGACCAAAAAAGTATTCAGTCGAATACCAAATACCAAACACGCAAATGTATTCGAATAGTATTCGAATACCGGCCGAATGTAGCCGAATAGTATTTGAATGCCAGCCAAATGTATTCGAATACTAGCCAAATGGATTCAAGTCTGAACCTTGCAGCATTGCAACGATTAATGTTTTGATCGAACGAATTGCGATATTAAGAATACTTTTGAGTTCAATTTAAACATAATGATCTGAAATGGACGCTGTAACATAAACATTGATAACTCCGTATCACCGATATGTTTTAATAACATAGTGATTGCAAAAACTAGATTCGCGACTGTTAACAAGTATATTTGGTGTGTTCGTAGTGTCAACATGAGATACGTTTTTCTATGTTTAGTGCTTATGTAAGTGAGAAGAAAATATCACGGTTTCGAAAAAAAAAACACAATTCCAAAGTGATAAGCAAATATGACATCACTGACACTTCCAAAGCGATGAAGATAATGTTACATGTATTTGCTTATCGCTTCCAGAGTGTTAGTTTTTGAGAACGTGATCGTATGTCTTTAAAAACAATACGATTCTCTTACTTTTGTACCAATATCTTTCTGATATTTCCCTCCCGTTGCTGCTATGTTTTGAGTCTGCCAGCCAGACTTGTCGAGCTTCTTTACCTGCACGAAACAATCTTAGGCAGTTGGGTTTCGATTACATTGAGCTTCGTCAGTACGACGTTGACATAAACAGCGTGTATCTACGCAGTTGCTTATATTCGTTTGTTTCTAGAATCTGCTTATAGCTTTAAGATATATACTAAGTGACATATAAATCCGAACACCCAGTTTAAATGGTTTTATTTTAATAAAAGTTGGTGAATGTATTTATCTTACTGTAAATAACAAGTGAAAAAATTTTCAGCCTTATCAGTTGGACATTTTTTTTAATTCACTAACGCTCTAAAAATGAATATTTCAGCCGCAGTAAAGAATCAACGTTGGCGTATTTTGGTTCTTGACATCCTTTACGATCGGTTACGATGCCTAGAGTACGGAGACCTGTACTATTTCGTCAACTTAGTGAGTTTGATAGGGGCCGTATAGCGGGACTTCGGGAAGCTGGACTTTCTTTTCGGGCAATTGCAGTTAGAGTGCAAAGAAGTGTAGACACTGTGGTTAGGTGTTGTCAGGCATGGCTTCGAGAAGGCCGTACGCAAAGAGCAAGGGGCACTGGACGTCGCCGTAGAACAACAGACCGTGAAGATCGCCGCCTAAGATTATTGGCCTTAAGGGACCGTTTCTCCACTACCAGGTCCATTGCAAATGAATGGTTTGCAGAACACGGAAGACCTATTGGCATGCGAAGTGTTTACCGACGAATGAGAAGTTTTGGCTTGTTTTCATACCGGCCACACTGGGTCCTCCCTTTAACTCGAGAACACCGACGTAATCGCCTTGAGTGGTGCAGACAACGGTCACTCTGGGATCAGGAATGGAACAGTATTGTCTTTAGTGACGAGACTCGATTTTGTTTAGGCATGCACGATGGTCGTGCCAGGGTCAGAAGGCGACGTGGTGAAAGGAGGAATCCACAGTTTTTTGTTGAAAGACATGTTCATCACACTGTTGGAGTTATGGTTTGGGGTGCTATAGCTTATGGTTCCAGGTCACCTTTAATCTTCATCAGAGGTAACATGAACGCGCAGCGTTATATCCACGAAGTTCTAGAACCCCATCTTTTACCCTATCTTGACACCCTGGCAGATCCAAGTTTCCAACAAGATAATGCCCCACCACATATTGCAAGAGTCACAATAGACTTCTTTCAACATAATGATGTCACATTGTTACCATGGCCACCAAGATCTCCCGACTTATCCCCAATTGAGCACGTGTGGGATATGATGGGTAGGAGATTGCTCAATTTGCAACGTCCTCCTCAGACTCTAGAAGCACTTCGAGAGGAGTTGGTGGTTGCCTGGAATGAGATACCCCAGGAGGACATTGACCACCTGATCGGAAGCATGCCTAGGCGCGTTGGAGAATGCGTAGCACATCAGGGTGCATCCACACATTATTAAAGGTCAAAGGGCTTTAAAGCAGTGCAATCATTTTGAAATTTTTATCATTTACTTATTATGCTTCATTAAGTACTTATACAAAATTTTATTAAAATAAAACCATTTAAACTGGGTGTTCGGATTTATATGTCACTTAGACTACTATACATAGGATTAAAATAAAAATTAATCTGAAATGTTCACAGAGTAGTTACAAATAAGCAAAATCCAAATCTTAAATTTAAATATTTAATATCGTATGAGTGAAAATATATCAATAAGCTAAGGCTGTCTTATATTTTGTTCCAGAGAAGTGTACAATGCTATCTGCATTAGATTAGGAGATACTTTACACATTCCCGAAGACTCTGTCCAGGCATTGTTCAACGATATGAAGCTTTATCCATCAAAATCTCAAGGTAATATAACTTTTATGGTATTTTATTACTAAGCTTGTAATAGATAAACATTTTAAAATTCAAGATGCTCAAGATGCTTCGAATTCTAATGATGGCTTAAATGTATAAAATTCCAATTAGCGTCCATATAAAAAACAAAGTTGGCGATGGAAGTCGAAAAAAAGATGGCGAATCGAAAATTTGACTGCATCTTGTAGAAAAGGTTAAGTAAAAATGACAACATGCAATCTATTTTGAAATCTCGTGTCAAATAAAGTCAGGAGAACATAAAAGTGATTTTGGGATAAATCTGATATGTGAAACAAATGACAATCTGATAATTTCAAGGCACACCTACGAATTCCTGCTTTTTTTAATTAACTAAAATCTGGCAATACCAATGCATGCAGTACGTTTTTGGAATCTGAATCGAAAACTCTGTTCATCTGTGCAAGAATCCAATATGGAGTCCATAAGAAAAAGTAGAGTTGATGCTGGAGGGCAAGAGACGAAACGTCATATTGAAATTCTAGTTATGCCTTCTTGTAGAGGAGAAAAAGTGGCAATGTTAATGTGCAAGTTATTTTGGAATCCGACTACTAATAAAGCCAGGAAAAAGTTAAAACGATTTGGGAAACGTTTGAGTTTCATTTTATAATTTTTTTTCCGTCACCACTGCACCGATTTTCAAAAACCTGATTGACGATGAGACATGATTTTTTGTGATGTATCTACATGTCATATACTATATATCATTTTCAAATTTGCTACTAATCATAAATATTTTTTGCTACTAATCTCTGAGTACTTCATAGCTTTATATCAGCTTGCAACTAAATTGTGGTATAGATACGTAACATACTATTAGTCATATAAATAGTCTCATGAGATTAGATTAATTATTATGCAGTGCTTCGTGTACATTTTATCTCAACGATTGAAGGTTTGATATCGGATTTATTATAGACACGATTTCCTTTCTTTATTGCATAGGCGGAGAAATATTCGTTTGTAGTGGGATGTTACAATCGAAACAAATGTTCGAAAGATCTTTGATTTTATTCATCTGTTCATGATCCAGAGAGGTATTAAAGATACCAGATTTTCCAGTAAAACGTTTTCGAAAAAAATTGTTGAGGTAAAAAATTTGGAGATCCAGCCCCAGTATTTCTACGCCATATTTCACACATCGTTAGTTTCCCCGTACATTTGTTATATGATATACAGTATATTCAGATAAGAGATAGACCGGATGTAAACAAAAGGTTCGGGTGATTTTCACGCTAACGCCGCCGTCTCGACGTAAAACAGGAGCCCTCATTGGTCAATTCGCAATTAAATGCCTATGCCGAGCGGCAGAGCAGTCGCATCAAGGCAGAGTCACATTCAGGTTCAGACGTGTTACGTATGTCGTGTGCATCATTGCAATTTGATATTTCTTTGGACGTTTTCGTTTGTTATCTTATTAAGTTGTTGAGTTTGTCGTTGTTATTGTTATACCTTGTTATTGATTGTTATTGTTATCAACTGCTTGCGCAAAATGCCCAGTAGTACAGATACTGCCGATGAAGTTGTAAACTCCTGTAGTCCACCTAGGAAACGCTCTAAAAAAAGACACCTGAGTGCAGAAATGATAGAGGTCATTTTGAATATATATAAGATCGAGCGCGAGGAGAACGAGGCATCAACCATCAAAGAAATTGTTGTGAAGGTTTCTCACAAAGTTGGGGTGTGTCGCGCATCAGTGTTTAAAGTGTTAAGACAATACAAAAAAAATCACACCTTTTCTGAGCCAATGACCAGTAAACATCGCAAAAGTATTGTTAAATCATTGGATGAAGCTGAAGTATGCGATTAGGAGGAAAGTGCATGAATTCTTCTTTAGGAATGAAATACCTACTATAGATAAAGTACTGCAGGAGGTAAATGGAGATACAACGTTGCCAAATTTCAAACGATCAACTTTCCATCCGTTACTGAAGCATTTAAATTTCAAATGGAAAAAACGGGGTCGTAATAGTTTACTACTGGATAGAGAAGAAATTGTGCTATGGAGGAGGGATTATTTAACAAAAATTGGGAAATATAGAAATCAAAACAGGAAGATTTATTACCTTGATGAAACGTGGGTAAACGCAGGACACACTACAAGTAAAGTATGGGTTGATGATTCTGTAACTTCATCCAGGAGGGCCTTTCTAGATGGACTATCCACCGGATTAAAAAATCCAGCAGGTAAATATGAGTAATAGACAACAATCGGATGTTTTTCAAACCTTGGGAACAAGGTTCTAAACATTAATTCCAGGGGGCAGATAAAACATATTGCAAGTAACAAAACTTTTATAACTTTCGATAAAATGCGTGGATGTTTTATTGTCATTTTCATTTGTTAGAACTTTTTTAAGCCATGTTTTTATGTGTTTTCGATATTTCAATAATTTTTTAATATATGTAATCTTAAAATATGTCGAATATTATAAACTTAAAAAAAGTTACTAAGTTTTATATTGTGTACCGTTCCTAATATTTCTAATCATTTTAATTCATACTTTAAGCTTTATAAAGTTATAATTTGTTAATATTAATATTTGCGCGTATTTCAGGTTCCTGGTCATTCATTTTTTAAAGGTTTATAACTTTAAATTAAATTGTGAAGCGCTGAGTAATCATACGACGTTCAATATTTTTTCTTTCAATATGACTAAATAATCCCAAATATAGCAATCTGATACTCATGTCTCAATGTTTTTTCGCTGAATGTGATGAAAACATTTGAAAAAGGTTCGCTTATTGAAATAAATCTACACCAGTTAGTACTTCGATTTCCAGGTAAAGGGAAAAGGCTCATTATCTGCCATATTGGCAGTGAGGATGGATTTGTTCTTGACGGTCTGTGGTGCTTTGAGTCTAAGAAAACTGGAGATTACCACGAGGAAATGAATGGCGAATCGTTTGAACAGTGGTTTTCAAAAATTTTACCGAACTTAGAGGAAAACGCAGTAATTGTGTTGGATAATGCGCCTTATCATTCTCGAGGAATGGAGAAGGTCCAAACAACGGCTTCAAGGAAAGTTGATGTTCAAAATTGGCTCCGCTCGAAAAATATCAACTTTGAAGAAGCAATGCTGAAAGTACAATTATTAAGAATTGTCAAGGATCACAAGGCGGAATATCAAAAATACGCCATTGACGAAATGGCAGCAAGTCAAATAGTCAAAATAAAACTGTGCTCCGTTTACCTCCATACCATTGCGAGCTCAATCCCATTGAGCTCATATGGGCAGAGGTTAAAAATTATATAGCTAAGCACAATGCAACTTTTAAATTTTGTGACCTCAAAGGACTTTTCAAAGAAGCACTAGAATTAATAACAGCGCAAAAATGGGAAAACTGTATTAAGCACGTGAAAGACAAAGTTGAAAAGGGAATGTGGGAACTGGACAATATTTTAGAGGAACAAGTCGAGCCATTCATTATTGACGTTGGTGCTTCAGGCAGTAGCGATGATGAAAGCTCATCAAGCTCATCTTTCCAATAAAAGATGTCGTTCATCAAATTCGGTAAGTTATAAGTAATTATAAAGCTACTGTATTTTTTAATTAATTATTGACATTTTTGAACCCATTTTGGCAAAACCTATTCAAGAATCTACTTTCTGACAATGTTCAACCATGCACATTTTTTTACGTTTTGAACGTTTTAATTTGGTTACATATTTACCTAGAAATCAAAAAATATACTAATCAATATTCTAAAAGCAATTTTAAGAGATATACGATTATTTTTAATTTAGGCTAATTTAAACGCCATTTTGAGATTATATTCGACTGTATTTCACCAAACATCAGGCGGCATCCGAAGCTGGAAATCGAAGCGAAAATTTTGAAACCCTTATGTATATTTACATCATTATATATTTCTTACCCCACCCCCACATGATCCTATTTCCATCACCAATCGTATACACATCGAACTGTGCTAATTTACTACAAAGTTACGCAAAGCAGCATCTACTATCTAAAATATGTACTGCGTGACTCTTAATACGTCCCTGCCGAATGTTACAGCGTTCGATGATCACGTGGTCTTGTTTATGTCCGGTCTATCTCTTATCTGAATATACTGTAGAATTGTTTTTGATATGCGTCTCCTTCTGCTATCTGGGCTCAACGTGGATAGTCAACCTACTTCACGCCATTTTATTTTTAGAAAATTGTAATACAATTGGGATTTTTTGGTTACTGCGTTGTACTTTTCACTAGCTGTAATTTTCTTGTGAATAAATATAGACACGTGTTTATGGCTAATTGTCCATCAGCGTGGAACGTAATTCAAATGCATTTTTCTAAATTTTAGCTTGTCAGAAGTATCGTGGTGATGTTGAGACCTAATTCAGGTAATCCAGCCTCTATCAAGTCGGTCATGTACTAAACTGATTGTGAGTTTTAAAGTCATATTGGTTTTCAAGTTAAAAAATGATCAACATAGTCAAAAACTGTATCTTATTTTATTTCTACGTGACTTGAAATACAGACATGATAAATAGCAGCTTGTAGCGTGTTTCTTGTGTCGTGAAGGAAGTGTTTTGTAAATTTGAACGTTGTTAAGAAGCACAATATGAACCCCTAGCGTACAAGAAACCACAACAAAATACGACTCTGTCTATAGAACCGGCGACAGATCTGTCAGAATTGTATGAAAATTGTCGATATGGGGAATTTTGAAACATCACTAGATAATAAGCTGTTATTTTCGATCACGTTTAACGTAAACGAGCTCCGTGAAAAAAAAACATAAAAGCCCGTTTCGGCGGTTAAAAAAAAGGCACACGCTTATGCTAAGGAAAGTCAAGATTATCTTCGCTATTATGCATTTATAATCACGACATGTGTGATAAGATTCATCAGATAAGATCAGGATATATCTTTAATAGACATTCATACAATCATTTATTTCGAAAGAAACTGTTTTTTGAGAAGTTTGTCATGTCATTTTTTGTGTCGTCATTCCGCACAATCTACAATTGCCAATATAATTCAAACAAGTTGCTCGATGGTAAATTTCAATTTTTGATACACATTTTTTTCGTTCGAAAAGATCTATTAGACCTCTATACGTTTCGAATAAAAAAACGGTGAAATCCAAAGTTCTACAACTCGCAACAGTAGGTACCTTTTTGATTTTTTTATCGTAGTATCTCTTAGAACGCTTATAGCTTCTCAATATTCAATTTTTACTTGGCTATAATTAACTAATTTTGATCGAGACGGTAGATACACAAAAACTTCTTTCAATCTATCATTTCTATTCATTCATATCGATTTCCTGATGCGCTAGAGGCCGTTTCATCTTTCAACACAGACATTGACAACCTTCGGCCTTCTGTCACAAGATTTCATCTCACACATTATTACATGACCACCATTTTGTGCAATCATCAAGTGGCTTCACGATGTAATGCTCTAATGTTTTTTAAATAATTTTTAATCTGTTTTTAACTTGTTCTTGTCATATTTTATATAATTTTGACCATTGTACCATCTATCCAGCTCTCACCATGTTACTGGACGTTTCCCTCATCCTATACGTAAACAACAATTAGCAACATCCTCACATACTACTGTAAGTTGAGTCAATTTAAATTCATTTTACACTTTTGTTGCTACTGTTATCATTGTAATTGCAGCTCCTGATGATGATGGCAAAGTCCATTGAAAGCTAGAGAGAATTAAAAAAGTATAAAGAGTCCTCTTTGCTTAAATTTTGTCGAAGTACTGCTTTATAAGCTGTTTTCTTCTTGTTTATACAAAAGATTGTTCATAATTATCTGAATACAACATACACTTAAGTTACTGTGATTCTGTTCATCGCAATAGTACAATTTTGCATTATTTTAATGATGAAAATAGTTCGTTGTTAAGTAGTCATTTCTTTTATTTCAGATAATTATTCTCATCACTACACCACCGTCACTGTAATATACCTTAATTTGGTTTGTCAAATTCTTATATGCTATCGCAAAAATGTGCAATCGGCACAAGATTGTCATGAAAATGCGTTTTGAAGGTATGGCCGGCAGATTTTACTGTACTAAATCCACCTCGTGCCTTACGATAGCGTTAGCTGAAGAGATTTTTTTGAAGAATGATTGTTTTCCTAAATTATAGTTATAATCTATTTACTTTTGGTATGTATGTATACTTTATCTGAAGTCACTTGAAATAGCATAAAAACCTTTGGTCGGCGCGTCCTTTGTAATTTCATGACGTATCATAGGCGTGCGGTCATTTATTTAGAACGATAATAATAATGTTTTTATATCACAAATAATGGATTTTACTATCTTCTTATTTTTTTGATTTGGGATAAAAAATACTTATATTGGGAGTTTAATTTATGTTGACTGAAAGTTAGGAATTTGAAAAATTACGGAATTCCAACGTTTGACATGGGCAAATATTTACATAGCAGGTAGGTATATAAAAAGGTATATAAAGACTTACATTATAGGTATTTATATATCATCCTCGCCTTCGGAGCTGTCGCTAGAGTCATCTTGTAGAGGAATTACAACGGGATTTACAGGAGGCAAAACACAATATTCATTTTCTTTTTCAATAATATGCCTAGAACACTGCTTCCATAGGTCTGTGGCAGCAATATGAGATACTGCATCTGTTATTGTGGCCAATAGCGATTCACTTAATTGAGGGGTCTGATTATGTTTTACGTACTTTTTTTTTAAAGCAGCCCAGACCAACTCAATCGGGTTAAAAATGCAGTAATAGGGAGGTAGACGTAATACTTCATGGCCATTTTGCTGAAGCAGATTGTCAACAACATACTCTTTTTCAAATTTTTGTCTTTTAATAAGATCCAATAATATGGCTTTGGTTGATTTTTGTGGTATTTCCATTCCCTTATCCTTCATAAAATCAATAATGTCTTGTTTTTTTGTGCCTGTATTCGGAATTTTGTTTTTCTGTCGGGAATCGTATGGCGCATTGTCCATAATAATCACTGAATTTGGGGGAATGTTTGGTATTAACTGCTGCTCTATCCACTTTTCAAATAAGTCGGAGGTCATGTCCTCATGATAGTCGGCACATGATTCTTTGATATTTTTGGCAGATAGCAGCAAGGCATTAGGTATAAATCCATTTTCACTGCCAGCATGGAGAATAATGATTCATTTCCCACGGTTGCATGGTGCATTTAAAATGCACTTGTTGCTGTCGTCAACCCAGCCGTACTGCACAACATCATGGGTATCATACCACGTTCCATCCAGGTAAATCAGATTTCTTTTCTGCTCTCTATAGATTTTAACTTTGTGCAAAAATTCTTGGCGCAATTCAACGATTCGAGACGACTCCATAATCACCATTCTTTTATCTAATTTTTTGTATTGAAAACCACACAGTTTTACAATACAGTGCAGTGAGTCTAAGCACTTGTAATTATAAAAATCTTCAGGATAATTTTTTAATTTATCCCGTATCATTTCCAACGTGGGCACCAAATTTTCTTTATAAAATCCGTATATTATACGACGAATATCTTCCTGAAAACCCACGTCTATTCTTTTTAATTTTTGCCCTATGCGCTTTCTGTGGAAGGAATGGTTGACTACATCTCCCCTTTTTATAACCCGATGAATGGTAGACCGACTGATTTTTGCCAGGATACAAATTCTGTTTAAAATTTGATTTTGCGAGGAATCTGGATTTTCGTTTTTCAGACAATCATACATATTTAGGATTACTCTTTGGGTCTGTTCCTCTAAAGAGCCATATTTAGGACACACAAGAACAATCAACACAACAATTAAATCAACAAGTAGACTGAGTATTCAAAAGTAAAAAACACACAAACTAATAAAATCTATGAAAAAACACGGACAGACTAAAGAAAACACGTTTATTCACCGCTACACGGCACTGGCTAAACTGTTTCAATTTTCAGTAGCCACCTGCACTTGTTCGGAGCTCTGAAATACACGCTTTCTCATTGGCTATGTCCACGCATAGGTGTGCTTTACTCCACGTGGACCGGTGAAACTGCCTTTGATCTTATACGGGGCTGCGAAATTTGGCGATTTTTGCAGCAACAGAGCGTGTTAAATATAGATATATAAAACGCATCCGGTATTTCACAGTGTTTCAAGTGACTTCAGATAAAGTATACTTGAAGAATTATTTAAAGTGAAGCTGATGTTACAAAATGAACCTAATTAAATGTGATATATATGAGAAATAACTGAAAAAGTATGTTGCAAATCACTAACAACAAATAGATTTGCAAGTTTTTTGATGACTTGATGAAATGATCGTTGATAATTATTTAACTATAATGTTGGACGATGATAAGTTGGGTGGACCTGGCGAGGTGGTCCAAATCGACGAATCATTTATTTTATCTGTCAAAAATGGTTAAGGAATTTCAACAAGACGTTGAAAAGTTACAAAACAAGACCTCTACACAGTGTATCAAGTAAATACCATCATTTACGTATGTATTTTGATCTGCTATATAAGCTAATAAGCTAATGTGTAATAACACGTCTGGTTTTGAACCTTTTTTTTTTTGGAAAAAACAACGGTTTTTTACAGTTTCACATCTATTTTCCTTAGTACTATACAGTGTTATATTCTTATAATTTAGAGCATCCTTTTGTACAAAAAGCAAAAAAAGACAGCATATAAAACACTATTCTAGAGTATTACCACCAAAAATGCAACTTCCAAGTTCTATAAAATAGCAAAGAAAAAATGATATTTTCGTAAAAGTTACATCCTAATCTTTCATTTTAAAGTAAGAAATGAAGCATTTGCGATATGCGCTAAAGTATCGTCTTACCCTAGCACCATTAAAAGTGTACCCTGTGCCCAGCCCAAGAACCCGCCTATTTATAAACAAACCGATCGATCGCTCCCCGTCTAACGTTCTAACCTCAAAATTTCTATCTTCGTTTAGTTCTTCGCGGTCGCAATGGAACAGCAAAAGAAAACGGAACAGTAAAAACCAAAAAGTGTATGGTGTACGCGTAAAGACACAAAATTGCCAGATTTTTCCGATGTTAGTAACAAGTGAAAATTAAACAAGCGTTCATTTCTATGTTGTGCAGTATCGAGAATGCTTCAGTGTGCCAGACAGTGCGGTAGGAGAAATGGGGCCACGTCGGACTACATCACCTTCGGGGAGTTCTGCGTGTTCGTCAGGGAGATGCAGAACCAGAGCCCCAGGCAGCATAGGAAGATTACACCACCTAAATCAAATAGTAAGTCTACAACCTACACCTGACAATACACCTCTTTTTTGACAGTAGATACATTGATCTTCATGGGTATCTTTGTTTACTTTAGGTTTGGAGAAACGGGGGGATCTTGATGGTAACAAGCAGTTTTTGTGGGCATCTTTGTTTATTTTGATTTTGTAGAACATGAGGATCTTGAGAATGTCAAACAGTCTGCAAATCTACATATTTGCTAGTTAATCTATAGTCTATGATATTTAAAACCCTGTTTCACGAGTATCCAGCACATTTTGACGTCTACTGTGGTGAACATCTGATCAGCTAGTAACATATTTGTATTAGTCTGTAACGTTGGCAATAATGAATAGGGTGTGAATCTTGTAAAGCTTGCTTGTAGCATTTTTTTGAATGCAAATGAACTTTAATTAAAAGAGAAAATGAATCTGTTGCGTACAGTGAACCTAAACAAACGACGGCTGTGTCTACCTCCTACCTGGCGTTGCCGGATCAAGCAGAATTATGTCGTTTGCCGTTATGGGGAATTTTGAATTATCACCAGATGATCAGCTGTTATTCTACTCGTGAAAAAAACAATAACATTTCATCCTGTCAGATCCACACACATAAATACATAAAATCTAACTGGATTCACTTCATTTAATAGCATTGTAATGTCTTTTAATATATTTTCTGCATTTCCTTTTGTAAAAAGCTATATAAAACTAACTAGTTCCAGTATTTTGATTTACAGACAATTTTGCTTCATTTTTATATGATTATTTTTGGAGATTTCAACGGCTTTATCAAATATTTCATCTCAACGTCAAATGTTTTTGAGATGAAAAATCGGCGTTGCCACATTTTTTCATTTACCCGCATTCTGATGCGTAATAAAAATCGGCAAACTAAAAACAATTCTCATAATGTTAAATGACTTAATGAATTGTAAAGTACTACTTTGAAAATATTTCGAGAGAGGCTAAATTTTTTGCTTTCGATTTAAGGAGACGCGAATTTTGAATACTCATTCATAAAAAATGTTCATAAATTGCTACAGATTCTTTTACTTTTCAAGCCAATTGGCAACAATCATTTAAGGATGTGTTTTACATGACATACCACGTACATCATGAAAAGCATAGAAAGATTACATCACCTAAATGAAATAGTAAGTTTACAACTGACAATATATCTTTTTGACAGTACATTGATTTTCAGGGGTGTCTTTTTACTTTTGCTTTTGAGAAACAGGTGGATCAATCAGTTTTTTCAGATTGACACATGTTCCAATAGTAAATTTACACTAACAATACTTTGATTTTTGTGGGCATCTTTGTTTATTTTGATTTCATGTGTCAAATGCATAAAATCTGACTTGATTCCTATCCACTTGATTTAATAGCATTGTAGTTAATATTTTCTAGCATATTTCCTACTTTTTCGTTTTTAAAAACCTGTGGCAAAAAGAAAGTGTGTCAGTATTTTGATTTATAGACAAGCATCCTTCATTGTTATACGATTATTTTTGGAGATCTTAACGGGTCCATCAACTATTTTGAACCATTGATCTCAAACAACGTCAACAGCTTTAAGACCAAAAATCGGCGTTGCCACATTTTTTTATTTACTGTCAATCTGAGACTTAATTAAATTAAAAACAAATTTCGTAATTTTGAATATCTTATGGAATGTGAAGTGTTACTATAATCATATTTTGAGAGTCGCTCAATTTTTTGATTTCGATTTGTACAAAGATTCATGATCTCGCGAATAATTCATAACATATCTGCATAAATTACTGCCTCTTTTACTTTTTGTTGTCATTTTTGTGCAACGTTGCTGTGATTCCAAGGACGAAAAGCCTTGCAGATTTTGAGAATCGGTTCAGTGACGGCGGAGCTATGGACAAAAAAATAAAAACTCAGGGTGTCCCAAATGTTGGTTATTTGAAAATTTGATAAATTTAGGCAAAGTGAAAAATATTCTTTCGAGGTCAAACGTGTTTTAAAAGTATTTTAAAAGCTTCTAACTAACCTGTTAAAAAAATAAGGAGAAAAAGTTCTGAAATTTCCCTAAGCACCGTGACGCTCATAATTTTGGTGTTCCCAAGATTTGAGTGTGCGGATTTACTTGCACGAAAAAGAACGTTACCATATAAAATCAGCCGTTGAAATATCACGGCTCATATAAAGTGATATCAACGAGACATGATATGTGCCTTGCTTTTCATATTTTATATAGCAGTGTAAATATTGCAAACCAGTTCTTGTGTAGGCGATCTTGTTCTTCCAGAAAGGAGACAGACTGGCAGCATTACGGACATTTTTAAAGACTGGGACACTTTTTTATTTACTTATTACATCACTCTTTGCCTATTATGTATCGCGAAATGTTGTTAATATGTGCAAATCGATGTCAAGAAATTTGAGTTAGCCTATATTTCTATATTAGAAACTTGGTCAGTAAAAACAAAGGTTGGCGTATAGTTCAGTGTTTTTGATATCACACGCCAATTGTAGGCGCGAATTGTTTTGAATTAGGAATAGTATGATGCCTTCTTCGCAATTTACGATTACCGAAAGGCATTCTAGCCAAAATGCAGTTCAACCGTGTCAAACCTCCAGAACTGGCCGATACGACCGCTCCTTTGTCCCTAGTGTAGAACAATCTGCCCGAAGAGGCTTTTCCTAGTTCAAAAATAGGATAAATAAAGTGTCTCTAGTCTCTTTCTGCTAGCGTAACGTCACTTTTTATTGTTGCAGGATGTTTGCAAAGGTGTGACGTATTTTTGGGAGGATCGTGTAACCCAACGACGTGGCGAACGGATACGGCGATACCAGAACTGAAGAAACATGGCATCACCTTTTATAATCCTGTAAGTCGCAGCTGCCAAATTGAAAAAAAATCTTTAATCGTGTCGAGTCGCTGAGAAAATTTCTCCTTCCTTAAGCAGAGAAATTTTATTTGTTGTTAAAATAAAAATTGAACTTTGGTTTGTCATGTATAGTCAACGCCAAACAAAGTGGCGTGCACGTCATCACGATAAAAATTCCCCGAACTAATGCCTAGGTTTCTATCACAAACAATTGCTCTATTGCAGTTTCATATTAATGTGATATATAAATTGTAAAATGGTCATTACTCTCTTATTATGGTTAATAGTCATATAAACATTGTTATTAAAATATCACATAAGTTGCTTTCTGATAAATTTAGACGCATTATGCGAAATAAAATGTTTTGCAAACGCTCCAATCACTTATCGACATGTAAACGCACTAAACCGATTTCGCAGCGTTGACACATTGTCACCTTGAAACTTATTTAAACTGGGAACTGACATTTGTATTAATTTTGACACTGAATCAATTTGTGGCATTTCAAATCTTTATAAATGCTTTGGCCCCGCATACTGTAAATCAACAACTGTTTGTTTCAAAACAAAATTATTCATTTTACGAGTAGATAAAGGCAATTTTGGTATATAAAGATGCCCAAACAGTTAAATAGTCGGTGTAAGGAACTCGTGGCCTCGTTAATGCACTACTTTGAGCAAGAAAGGGACAACAACGGGCCTTTGTTGCCTTTAAATGCTGTTCAAGAGGTAGGTTACTAATAATTATATGTAATGTATATTAATAATAGTGAAATTTTATTTCATTTTTTGTAGCGTGTTGCTGCTGCTTTAAAAATTAGTTTAAGGACAGTTAGTCGTATTTCCGAGGGTGTGAAAAGTGATGCAAATTTAGAATCGCCCAAGAAAAAGCGGAGTTATATTAAACGTGTAACCAACACAGCGACATTGGATACAAGTACCATTCGAGAAGTGATCTATAATATGTATCACAAAAGTAAGATCTTATTATAATAACTTATCAGAAATTTGCATTAATTTGTTAACTAAATTATAATGTCATATTACACATGGTTTCAGAAGAACAAGTTACGATACAAACTTTATGGTCTCGATTAAGAGATAGGGCATTATTTGATGGTAGTGCCACGTCTTTAAGGCGGTTGCTTAGAGATCTTGGATTTAAGTGGCTTAAGGACAATCCGCGACGAGGGCTCATGGAACTACCAAGTATAGCTTTGAAAAGGGTGGAATTTCTAAGGCAATACAATCAAGCCAAGGTTGAGGCCTTATACCAGTTTGTCTTCCTCGATGAAACTTGGATATTTCAAAATGGGACCATAGGTCGCTCTTGGCAAAATGGAAACCAAAAAAGCGTGAAAGCTATTAAAACAGATGGTAAAAGGTATGTACTTTTACACAATTTGCACTATAAAATTTAAAACTAATATATTTTAGATACATTATATTACATGCTGGAAATGAAAATGGGTTTATTGAGGGTAGTGAAGCGATATTTTCTTCGAAAACAAAATTGAGCGATTACCATGGAGAGATGAACCAGGACAATTTTTTGAAACGGTTTCAACATCAGTTATTAGAAAAATTGGAGAGTCCATCTATGATTATACTGGATAACGCCCCTTATCACAGCATGATATTGAACAAAGTGCCCAACAATGCATGGACAAAAAAAAATATCCAAGACTGGTTGACAAATCAAAACATACCATTTTTAAACACAATGTTTAAAACAGAGCTATTGAGTATTGTTGCTCGGTACATAATGCTTCTTAATTATATATATTTTGGTCGACAGTTTATATTTCTTTTGTTTATTCCTATTCTTAAAATAACTGCTTTTTTAGAAACAAACCACCTAAAATATACGTGATTGATGAATTGGCGGAACAACATGGGCACAAAGTTCTTCGTCTGCCTCCTTACCATTGTATATTTAACCCTATTGAGTTAATTTGGGGCATAGCAAAAGGTTACTATAACAGACATATTGGTAGAGATGGTAACAGTGAAAAAGACTGTTTGGATATGTGGAACGAGGCTCTACAAACGGTTACCCCAGACATGTGGAAAAATAGTGTTCGACATACTGAGCAAGAAATTTTTAAATGGTATGAAAGAGAACGAATTTTTGATCGACCAGACATCGAACCTTTAATAATCAACTTTGAGAGTGATGAAGATTCAGATTCAGACAGCGCTGAAGAAAGAAACTCCGACTAACTTTATTGTACAGAAAAAGCTTACACCAGTAGCTTACCTAATTTTAGAATGCATTTTTCTGTATGAATTCTGTAAAATAAATACCATGCATAAAATTTGGAGGACCCCATTTGGATTTTTATTCAGTACCTTTGAGCTATCAATTAAATATGGTAGTTTCATAGTGTCATCTGATCAATAATTGTCATACTTAATGATTATGCAAGTACAGATCTATAATTTGATTATACTATTATTTTTGTTCTCATTTGAGGTTAATATTGCTTATAAACCTAGATATGTAAATAATAAATTTTATTATTTTACAAAAAGTTTGGCAACAATGTAAATTTTTCAACACACCCACCTTGATGACGTGCACGCCACTTTGTTTGGCGTTGACTATATATCTATCGCTTCACGTATTTCACAAGAACACACCCGATTTTCTTCTAGAGGAAAAGGGAATCTGTTTTTATTACTTCCAAGGGAATTGATGCATCCTACGTGGTTGTTGCAATAAGGGCCGTAACGTCGGTCGTTCGTAAAATATTATTGGACGCCTTTATGGCCTCCTTGATTTTCATAGTATTTTCTCTCCTTTAGGGATATTTGTGGATTTCTGCTGCTCCGTGTCAGCGCTCTATTTTGAGGTTGTATTTTCTTTTTGAATTCTAAGAAAGCTCAGGCTGACAAAACTTAAGATTCAAAAAGAAAACATAACCTCACAATAGGAGATCGCTGACGCAGACACGGAACAGTAGAACCCTAGAAATACTCAAGGAGGCCATTTACGCGTCCTCCGGTAGGAACGACTGACGATACAGCCCTAATTTAATCGATGGTAGTACCAGCGCCACCTTCAACTAACCTGTCTGTGGAAGACCCCAAAGCTGCGTTGCCATATCTACTGTTCATGGCTCGTTAGTTGAAGGTGGCGCTGGTAGTACCGAATCTCCGTACGTGACTCCCATTTCCTTCTTATAGCAAGTAACGATGTGGGCCCCCGAGCTAGTAGCGCAAGAGTACGACGCCAAGCAGCGAGCGGCGGTACTGTTGTTCGTGCTTGACAGCGAAACGCGTAGTACAGTGGGCATGATCGAGGTGGCGTACCTGGTGGCCAGCGGAAGGTGCGTCGTTGTTGTGGCGCAACCGTACGAGAGAGGGCAACGGATTATGGGCGAGATCATCACAGAAAGGTATTTTTTTTAATGAGGGTCAACAAAAGAAATCGAAAATGTGCTAATTTGTCGGAATAGTTGAGATTGGAAAAATAGATGGAATGAAATAGTAGAATTTACTAAAATCGTTAAATTTGCTAAAACTGTCAAAATTGCTGGAATTTCTAAAATTGTTGAAATTGCTAATATTGCTAAAATTGATAAAAATGTTGAAATTGCTAAAATCACTAAAAGTGTTGAAATTTCTAAAATCACTAAAATTGCTGAAATAGCTTAAATTTTTAATGTTGCTTGATTTGATAAAATTGCCAGAATTGCTAAAGTTGTTTAAATTGCTGGGATAGCTAAAATTGCTAAACTTTCTGAATTAGCTAAGATTTCTAGAGTCGCTAGATTTGCTAAAGTTGTTTTAATTGCTGAGATTGTTACAATTGCTAAAATTACCGAAATGGCTATAATTGCTAGAGTTGTTTAAATTGCTGAGATTGTTAAAAGTGCTAAAATTTCCAACATTGCTGATTAAGTTAGAATTGCTAAAGTTGCTGAAATCGCTAAAATTGTAAAAATTGCTAAAATTGTTGAATTTGCTAAAATTGCTAAACTTGTTTAAATTGCTGGGATCACTAAAATTGTTGAAAATGTTGAAATTGCTAAAATCACTAAAATTGCTGAAATAGCTTAAATTTTGAATGTTGCTAAATTTGATAAGATTGCCAGAATTGCGAAAGTTGTTTAAAGTGCTGGGATAGCTAAAATTGCTAAACTTTCTAAATTAGCTAAGATTTCTAGAGTCGCTAGATTTGCTAAAGTTGTTTTAATTGCTGAGATTGTTACAATTGCTATAATTAACGAAATTGCTATAATTGATAGAGTTGTTTAAATTGCTGAGATTGTTAAAAGTGCTAAAATTACCAACATTGCTGAATATGTTAGAATTGCTAAAGCTGCTGAAATCGCTAAAATTGTAAAAACTGCTAAAATTGTTGAATTTGCTAAAATTGCTAAACTTGTTTAAATTGCTGGGATTGTTAAAATTGCGATAACTGTTGAAATCTTTAAGATTGCTAAAATCGACAAAATCGCTAAGCTTGCTGAAAATTGTTAAAAAACTGTTAAATTTGCTAAAATTACTGAAATCGTTAAATTGCTAAAATTAATTACTGAATTACTAAAATTGTAAAAATTGCCAAAATTGCGAAAATCGTTAAAATGACAAAGATAGATAAAATAGATAAAATCAATGGAATTGATACCATTGATGAATTTGGTACAGTTGCTAAATTTGAATAAATTGCTAAAATTACTAAACTGGGTAAAATTGTCAAAACTGTTAAAATCGCTAATATTGCGAAAATCGTTGAAATATCTAAGGCTGCTAAAATCGACAAATTGATAAAATTATTTAATTGATAAAATCGCTAAAATTGATAAAATCGTGAATATTACTAAAATTGCGAGAAGATTGTTGAAATTGCTAAAACTGTCAAAGTTGCTAAAATCGATGAAATTGTCAAAATCGATGAATTGCTGAAATTGTTAAAATTGAAAAAATGCTAAAATTATAAAAATTGCTAGAATTTCTGATATTGTTAAAATTGATAAATCTGTAAAAATTGTTATAATTGCTAAAATTGTTGAAACTGTGGACACAATTAGTAAAGTTGTTTAAAGTGCTGGGATAGCTAAAATTGCTAAACTTTCTAAATTAGCTAAGATTTCTAGAGTCGCTAGATTTGCTAAAGTTGTTTTAAATGCTGAGATTGTTAAAAGTGCTAAAATTACCAACATAGACGAATATGTTAGAATTGCTAAAGATTCTGAAATCGCTAAAATTGTAAAAATTGCTAAAATTGTTGAATTTGCTAAAATTGCTAAACTTGTTTAAATTGCTGGGATTGTTAAAATTGCGAAAATTGTTGAAATCGTTAAGATTGCTAAAATCGCCAAAATCGCCTAGGTTGCTGAAAATTGTTAAAAAACTGTAAAAATTGTGAAAATCGTTGAAATCGCTATGATTGCTAAAATCGACAAAATCGCTAGGCTTGCTAAAAATTGTTAATAAAACTGTTATATTTGCTAAAATTGCTGAAATCGTTAAATTGATAAAATTAATTACTAAATTACTAAAATTGTAAAAATTGCCAAAATTGCGAAAATCGTTAAAATGACAAAGATAGATAAAATAGATAAAAGCAATGGAATTGATACAATTGATGAATTTGGTACAGTTGCTAAATTTGAATAAATTGCTAAAATTACTAAACTGGGTAAAATTGTCTAAACTGTTAAAATCGCTAATATTGCGAAAATCGTTGAAATATCTAAGGGTGCTAAAAATCGTGAAAATAACTAAAATTGCGAAGATTGTTGAAATTGCTGAAAATGTCAAAATCGATGAATTGCTGAAATTGTTAAAAATGAAAAAATGCTAAAATTATAAAAATTGCTAGAATTTCTGATATTGTTAAAATTAATAAATCTGTAAAAATTGTTATAATTGCTAAAATTGTTGAAACTGTGGACACAATTTATAAAGTTGTTTAAAGTGCTGGGATAGGTAAAATTGCTAAACTTTCTAAATTAGCTAAGATTTCTAGAGTCGCTAGATTTGCTAAAGTTGTTTTAATTGCTGAGATTGTTAAAAGTGCTAAAATTACCAACATTGATGAATATGTTAGAATTGCTAAAGATTCTGAAATCGCTAAAATTGTAAAAATTGCTAAAATTGTTGAATTTGCTAAAATTGCTAAACTTGTTTAAATTGCTGGGATTGTTAAAATTGCGAAAATTGTTGAAATCGTTAAGATTGCTAAAATCGACAAAATCGCTATGTTTGCTGAAAATTGTTAAAAAAACTGTATAAATTGCGAAAATCGTTGAAATCGCTATGATTGCTAAAATCGACAAAATCGCTAGGCTTGCTGAAAATTGTTAAAAAAACTGTTAAATTTGCTAAAATTGCTGAAATCGTTAAATTGCTAAAATTAATTACTAAATTGTAAAAATTCCCAAAATTGTGAAAATCTTTAAAATGACAAAGATAGATAAAATAGATAAAATCAATGGAATTGATACAATTGATGAATTTGGTACAGTTGCTAAATTTGAATAAATTGCTAAAATTACTAAACTGGGTAAAATTGTCAAAACTGTTAAAATCGTTAATATTGCGAAAATCGTTGAAATATCTAAGGGTGCTAAAATCGACAAATTGATAAAATTTTTGAATTGATAAAATCGCTAAAGTTGATAAAATCGTGAAAATTACTAAAATTGCAAAGATTGTTGAAATTGCTAAAAATGTCAAAATTGCTAAAATCGATGAAATTGTCAAAATCGATGAATTGCTAAAATTGTTAAAATTGAAAAAATGCTAAAATTATAAAAATTGCTAGAATTTATGATATTGTTAAAATTGATAAATCTGTAAAAATTGTTATAATTGCTAAAATTGTTGAAACTGCGGACACAATTGATAAAAATGGTGAATGAATGAAATTTTTAAAAATGCCAAAACCACCAAAATTGTTAAAATTGCGAAAATCGTTGAAATCGCCAAGGTTGCTAAAATCGACAAAATCGCTAAGCTTGCTGAAATTGATAAAATTGGTGAATCTATAAAATCACTAAAATGCTAAAATCGCTAAAATTGATAAAATCGCGAAAATTCTTAAAATTGCTAAGATTGTTGAAATCGCTAAAATTGTTAAAATTGCTGAAAGCGATGAAATTGTTAAAATTGTCGAATTGCTAAAATAGTGGAAATTAAAAAAAAATGCTAAAATTGTTATAATTGCTGAAACTGCCGACACAATTGATAAAAATGATGAATTTGGTAGGATTTCTAAAATTGCTAATATTACTAAAATTGATAAAAATGTTAAAAATTTCAAAACCGAGAAAATTGTTAAAATAGCGAAAATCGTTGAAATCGCTAGAACCGCTAAAATCGCAAAGATGCCTAAAATCGACAAAATCGCTAGGCTTGCTGAAATTGATAAAATTGAATTTAATGAAACTGAAATTGCTAAAATCGCTAAAATGATAAAATCGCAACGAATATTAAAATTTCTGAAATTGCTAAGATCGCTAAAATGTTAAAAATTTCAAAATTGCTGGATTGCTAATATTGAAAAAATGCTAAAATTATTTAAGTTGCTAGAATTGCTGAAAATTGCTAAAATGATAAAATCCCTAAAATTGATGAATTTGTTCAAATTGAAATGGCTAGAATTGCTGAAACTGTTACATTAATAATTCTGACCATGTCGCTTCAAACACCGGCCCTAATTTTTTTTTCTAGGGAGTATCAAGACCTGGTAGAAGCTCAAAACGTTCTATTGGACTTGGTGAGGAGTAAAGGAGTGAAAATCCACACGAACCTTTCAACAGCTTTACAATGTACGGCGAACATTCTGAGGAACTCGACGAACTCTGGTACTAGCGCCGAAGAACAGATCACGTGTAAACTCAGGTAATTGTTTAGAATTCATGAGAAAATCATGTTTTTCTAGTTTTTTTCTTTTTGTTATTTGCTTATTATTTGTGAAAATAATCTCCTTGAGTGTGGGAGACAAAACCTAAAATTTTTTCAATTCCATACTTTTTTTTTCAGGAAGCTGAGAGAGGTGTATGACTCCTATGGAGGCGAGATGAAGCTTTACCACGTGTTAGACGCGTACAAGAAGCTGACGAATCGTTCGTTGGACATCGCGCGCCTCTACAATTATTTCAACCACACGCAAAGTACAAATGGTGATTCGACCATCTCGTCACCGAATTCAACTGTTTCCTTCGAACGGTTTTGTGCTCTGATGGCTGAATTTTCCACTAATGATGGCTGTGAAATGTGCTCTTTTGACGGTGAGTTCACATCAAATTTCCAAAAAGTATATTTTAAATCTTTTCACTTATTCTATGAACATCTCTTTTGATCTCATGTTTTACCCCTAGCAAAAATGCATCATGTTGCTAAAAAAATTGTAGTAAAACGATTTTCTCTGCAGAATAATTCAACAATAGTTAATTGCGTTATTTCTGAATGATTGTTGTTAGGTAGGAGTGGCACAGGGAACGCAAGATTGACGTTTCAAGCCACGTCAGTCTATTGGACATGTGCTCTTCTAAAGACGAGATTTTTGATAAGATCAATAGTCGACAACGCTCTAGGTATATCAAAATATTAGCTAGTCGTTGCTATTTTATGATTTATTTTGCAGCTCAGATCTGAATACATTGTGTTAAGTTGCATTGCATACACAAATTGGTTACATGTAACATTGCGTTGTTGTTATAATTTATTTGTTCATTTTTTTCCATTACAATACGTCCAGTTTTGGCTTTGTATGTTCTTTGTCTAAAAGCACTAATATTCACTGTTATGAGGTAGCTTTCGTACTGCATGACTTAGTTCTAATCCGTGCCAAAACCTGGCAAAATTCAAAACACAAGTGGCTGAAAATTAATGAAATTTATTACCTATTTTAAAGCTAATACCTTAAACATTAAATCTATTAGAACATACATTACCTTTATCATGGAAGCCTATTGAACCTGAAGCTTATCCGTTGTGTTTCATGTTGAAAAAATCTGAATGTGGACCATGACATGCTAACCGTTGCAAACTATTGAGAAATACTACTTTATATATAGCATTTTTTACCAACATGCTTTTTTTCAGTGAACACGCTTCATTAAAGGTAGATGGTATCCCGCATTTACAAGAATTTGTGTTTTTTTCTATGTTTATGTAATGCATCATATTCATTTGATCTTAAAATATGCGTCCATATGAATAATTATTCTTTTTCTGTGATGGGAAAAAAGTTTGACATTTTATCTCTGTTGACAGGTAACAAAATGTCACTTTTTAGGAAATTAATTTTTTACCGGATATTGTATAAACACATATTGAGCTGGCAATAATTTTTGTAACTCTACCTTGGCTACTTCTACTAATTCCGGTGGAGTCAAAGAAAACTCGGAATCAGACATTTTTTAATTTATAGTATTAAAGTAACTTCTAAACAACCGCTAAGTTGACAATTTTCAAATCAAATTACAAAATTAAATTGGCAGCTATTTGATTACTTTTAAAGTTTCCTTAGCAACGCAGGTGTATTTGTCGCTATAAGTACAACAGAGCCTACTAATTTCAAAATTCAAATTTCACATCGATAATTTTCTGACTTAATAACAACAATATTAAATTGTCATTGTCATTTTTCCCGTCACAGAAACAAATTTGTATTATACACGGGAAATATACTAGATATTTTGGGATATCCTGTATTAAATTGGATCAATTGTTCACTGAGAAGCAGCTCTTTCCCTGAAAATTTGAAATGCTCTACAATAACACCAATTCCCAAAATAAAGAATTCTAAAAGATGCAGCGATATGAGACCAGACATTGAAAAATTATTAGAGTCCATAGTGCATGACCAATTAATGCAGTTTATAGACATAAATGATTTACCTGCCATAGTCAAAAAATGCAAAATTCAGATTTTCGCCGATGGCACTATGATTTATATAAGTACTAAAAATATTCAGTCTGGTATCTCTTATATAAATGAAGACTTGAAGCTTGTCTCAAAATGGTTAGCATCTAACAGACTAAAATTAAATGCAAGTAAAACGAACGCCTTTTTAATCGGAAAAAACAATGTACAAATGTTCAAATTTTAAATACCTTGGGGTTTTTGTTGACTCTCGATTAATTTTTGATATTCATTATGAAAAAGTTATAAATAAGATTAGTAGTAAAGTGGGATATTTATCTAGAGTTTCTGGATGTCTGAGTTCATATAGCAGAAAAATTATCTATAATACCACCATTCTTCCAAATTTCTTGTACTGTTCGAATATTCTATATTTAGCAAATAATTCCATTTTAGAAAGACTGCAAATTTTACAAAATAAGCGCATGAGAATAATACTAAATAAAGATAAATATACTCCAATTAGGCAAATGCTTAGCAAATTAAAATGGCTCAATGTAAAAAATTTTATCAAATATCTTGTAATGATATTCATTTATAAAGTAAAAAATAATATATTTCCATCAAGTCTAACTCATTTACATAGTACCAGAAATAAAGATGACTTCCATTTAATGACCAAAAAGTATAACATATGCTACAAATCTGTATTCCATCAAGGGTTGATTGAATATAATAAATTATACTCGGATATAAAAGTCCAGAGAATTTTTACAATATTTAAAGTAAAATTGAGAAATCACTTGTTAAATCTACAATTATAGGTTGCCCAGCATTTACATCATACACCATATGGCTTGAATTTACTAGTTCTAAGTTGTTTACAATTGTTCTGTTTATTTAGCCAAATGTGCTAAATAAATCTTTCTACTACTACTACTACTACTACTAGATTTTAGCTTTTGGTAACATCAACCTAAAATCTAGTACTTTTTTCCCTTGTATAATAAATAACTATTGATTACGTCAGTAAAACAGTAACAAAGGCCTTATGTGAGTTATTCTCGTTTTTTTCACACATTCTTATTTATATTAGACCTTTAAATTTGGCATTATGATATTCAGTTTCTCAGGAAATTAACTCACTTTTTTTATGTATAAGTTCACTATTTCTCACTATTTTTCAAAATGTCACTTTTCTCACATGGTGACATCGTCCCCACATCATCCCTTCCTCAGAGGTTCTTCTGTTCGTCCCTAACCTCACTATTGCTTCATTATGACATGTGTCACTGTGCTGATTCGAAATGTTAGTCTTTTGGAACTCAAATACTACATTAAGCCGAAAAAAGTACTTAAAAACTCAGCAGCACAGTTTTTATTGTCTCCAGGCAAAAATTCAAATTATGTGACGTGACCTCTTCTAACATCATTCATTTGCAGTATGGGCGATGCAACCTTTCCAACGTCAATGCTCCACGACGACGAACAACAACACCTGCACGCTGGACTCTGACGGTCAACACATCGAGTGCCTCCTGGAATCGCCTCCCTATACGCCCGAAACGCCCAATCCCACGGGAGTGGACGTTTTCCTGGGAGGATCGTTGACCTCGAAGAGCAAATGGAGGGAAGAAGTGGCGGTGCCGATATTGGAGAAGCACGGGTTGAGTTATTGCAATCCGGCTGTTAGAGAGGATGGAACGTTGTCTGGGAATAAGAGGTAAATATTTTAATAATAAACGACTTTTATTTCAGGCGAAGCTTAGCTGCAAGGTTACTACCACGTAACCCTTGAAAATAACTAACGGAATATTGAAAACGATTTTAAAAATTATTCTTAGAAAAATTACACATTGAATACAACGTACATGTGAGTGTATTTTAGCGTTTTTCTGGGTGTGAATTAAAACACTGGATTTCACAAAAAGAAATGCACTAATTTATTTATCTTGACTAGATAGAACATTTATGTACACCACTATATATGTGACTGATTCTTATGTTGCGCGATTGACTGGACTATACTCCACTCTGCTCTACTCTGGTGTACTCTGTACTCTGCTCCATCTGCCGGCAGTCGAGTTATATATAGTCCCCATCGCTACTTCGAGAAAGGTCTGGCGAGCCACAAAGCGGCATCTAGAATATTCCAGGTCACTTCGCGTCGATCTAGAAGGGGAGTCACGGCGATTTGTTATCGTCACACTATAAAAAAAAAAGAAAAAATCATGAACGAGTTATACAAATATAATATGCAGAAATATGACTGAACTATATACTGGGACTTTCCGATTTGAGCTTCAAAGATAATTTTTTTAAATTGTTTTTTGAAATGATTGAAATCGAGATGTTTAGCAGTCGATGGTAATGTATTATATATATATATATAATCGAATGTTTCTTGAATGGATTTATTCACGAGACAACAATTTATTTTTCAAAAATGAAGGAATCGAAGGAGTTTGTGAACCTAGCATAATAAATGAAGCTTATATAATTTTGCAACATTCAACCAGTTCGGTTGATCGAAACATGAATGAATAAGATTGTATTTTCTTGAGTTGAAAATCAATTTACTGAATCTAGAAATGGATAGTATGCTCACATATCACAATATGTGATTTTTGATATATCATATCACATAATTTTTTTTATCTAAAATCAAGAATTTCTGTAAGGTGACACGCCCCTTTTTAGAAATTTTTCAACTTCTTCTTTGCAGCAGTATTTTAAATCCATTTCATCTGATAATTTTATGGTGTGTATAGAGATGACTAAAAACAATGTGTTCTTTTTTGTGCATTTTATTGTGCATTTTTTCTTCAATCGGAACTTGTTAACAAATACAAGTATAGCTCTGAAATTGTGTGTAAATATTCCCCTTTTATAGAAGAATGACAAGAGTGATTACTTTTGCTTTTATCACTTTTTCTTTTCGAAAAATCTTTGCTTTCCTTGAAAACTCAACATGCTGCGAGACGAGGCTTCAAGAAAATCAATGATCTTTCGAATAGGAAACAAAAGTAATCACTCGTTTCATTCTTCCGTAAAAGACGAAATTCACGCACAATTTCAGAGCTGTACTTATATTTGTTAAGTTTCGATTGAAGAAAGAATGCTCAATAAAGTGCAAAAAATGCGTTTTTTGGCAAAAAAAAATGAAAACTTTTTTCAATCACCTATACACACCGTGAAAGTTGAAAAGAAATACAAAAAAGGGACGTGCCACCTTAAGTACAGATACCGTAAAACAGTAAAACAATTTTTAGTTATGTTATTTACATGAGAAATAAATTTGATATTATCATCTATAATAAACAAACCTAAGTTTTTTATTGATTCTTATATCTGAATAGCATGGTCGTTTAGAGTAATGTCCAAAGTATTTTAGATTTTTAGGAGAAAAAATGATAACTTTGGATTTAGAGGGATTCAGCCGGAGATTATGTTGTGCTGCATAATTTTTAGTAGAATTTAGGTCCTTTATTATTTCCGCTTCCGAAATTTCTAAATTTTCATGATTGAAGCTATGATATAATCGTGAGTCGTCAGCAAAAAACTGAATACCAAAAATTCCACAACCCTGTTTATATTTGCTGTATACAAAATAAAGAGAAGTGCTCCAAGAACTGATCCCTGCGGCACGCCTGAGGAAATCAGACGCTCTGTAACAAATTCTGAATCAACGCCTACCTTTTGGGATCTATTTATCAGAAAGCTGCGTATCAAACTCATACAAGGTCTGTAAATTGAGTGATGAGACTGGCAACGTAACATTCGATCTGGCAACACTGGAGGCGCCGGGCATGGAGGGGAGACAGGGGAACGTGTGGTCCGCCTTCAGTACAACTTTGAACTCGCTCGAGTCATTTGGTTATCCCTCGGCCTACGGAGATAGTGTTTTGTCGATAGCCCAGGTTTTTCGGTGGTCTAAGGCATTTTCAGGAGGGATAGAGTCGATCGAAGATGAACCACCCAATGAGAGGCCTTCATCTTCAAGTACCGATGAAAATATCGACATTTCTTTGTTGTTGCAGGGATGTGTTGGAGTGGAAGAAAGTGATAGACGCGAGTCGGATAGTGTTGATGTACATAACGCAAGATAGCAGATCTATGACCAGTATTATCCTGGCCGTCTACCACATGGGCCTTAACAAAGACAACCTCGTACTGTGCGTGGAGAGTTTGCCGGAAGACGGCTGCGCGATTCACGATGAAACGGTGAGTACTTCGGAGTTTCAACAGTTATGAACTGGTGGACATATTTTCTGAACGGAAACAGACTATCAATTTTTGACCTTGGAAAATTTTCTATGCGTCTTTTTGATCTTTGGGCTATCCTGAAAAATGTAATTTCTCAAATTTATCGAAAGTTGATTATAACTCAAATGATCGAATTTTAAAAAAGTGTTACATTCATCCCTAAAAAATTTCTTCTGCTTCTTCTCTTCCGAAAAATTTGAGATATCACAAAGATCAAAAAGATGCGTGGAAAAATTTTCAAGATCAAACATTGAGAATCTGATATAGCACCAAACTTTGCTGAAAAAACATGACTTCCTTTGCTCACCCTGAATGCGTGGATAAATAAAAGAAATATACTGGTCGAAACCTGTACATATTCTCAAAGAGTTGGACAAGAACCTCCCGAATAGCATAACTCGATATCTCTTTCCGTTGCGAAAATATCGAGATTTGAATTTGCATGTTGCAAAGCAAAACTGCCCACCAGTTTTAATTTTTTTTTTCAAGTTTGGAGCTTCAGACGATTGGAGTTTATGATTATTTGGATAATTTAAATTGCGAAGTATCTTCTTGACATTACATTTTCTCTTCCAGTTATCAAAAACGCGGTGAAAGACTATAACAGAGCTAGGGTATACCTGACGGACCTTGCAAAACGAAAGCAAGTTCCGGTATTCGAAAACATCACCGAGGCGGTACAGTGCGCTGTTGAAAGGTGTAAAGGGGGATAGAGAATATTAGAAAATAAGCGCAACCCTCAAATTATCAGGTCACTATCCGCTCTCTCCCTCTTTCTTATAAATGCAACGAAGGCAGCTCTCTTCAGCCGGAAAAAAACATACACTTTTTTTGCGTGTTTTATGTGTTTTTAAACGATGTCTTTTGGTAGGATTTTTCGCCATGTCTCGGCACTTTTATCACGTGAAAAATGCAATTTTTTACATGATAAGAGTGGGCAGTTGTGAAATTTTAAGATAATTAAAATGTTCCAGACGTTAAAGATCAACCGCAGAAGAACTGTTCGTAAGACAATTATTATAAGTAAATTGAAAGGTTTGTGCTTGAGAGATTTTTTTTTTGGCACTTCACCTTCCTATGGAATTATCGTATGCAGAAAATTGATTTCACAACTGAGAAAACGAGACTTGCGAAAAACGTCGGTTAGAAATTTTTTAGTTATTGCGATAAAAAATGATCAAAAAATATTTTCATGTTGTCCTTATATTATATAGTTATTCCTTTTTCCTTGTTTCAATTAGTCGGACTTATCTGTCATTCGTTTTATACACGAAAATGTTAACATATTAGAAAAATGTTTATCATAGTAAATTAATGTCTATGAGTAATTGTTAAAAAATTGTTACGTGTTTATATTATATACGGAATATCCTGAACAAATTTGTTTTAAATAATCGGTACACAATTTTTTTTTGGCGTTAAAAATTATGACAAACATCTGAACATTCCACTAAAAGAGAATTTCAAAAAAGTAACTACACTATTCCAAGGTGTTAAAAAATCGAGGGATAACATCACAAATGTATGTTGTACCAAAACAGAACTCTTGGGATATTCTGTATACTTGTTAATTATTCTTTTTGATAAAATTCATAAATTGTTAGGAAATTGAATATATAATTTCTCTGGTACAATAATTGAAAAAATATACACATCACAATTGTGGGCGATTAAATGCTTCCTCCTTTTGCTTAAAACTGTCATCTTTTTCACAATTTTTAATCTCTGATAAATTATGGATGGAATCTTTTTATGTGATTTTTGCTGAAAGCAGTATGGATCAGTTTTGCATACTGTTTTACCAAAACATCTATTCATGATTGTTAAAGCAGAAGAGAAGAATATTTTTTCGCCCGATTTAAAGGAGCATCATATAAATGGCTGCTACTTACCTCTAACATTCACATAACTCTAAATTTGAAGTTGGTTAACTGATATTATATACCTAATTATATTATGTATGAATGTCATCAACATGTCTTAATTTCTGTTAATTTATATATTTGTATAGTATTAAAAGTTAAAGGATAATATTAAAATAAAGGTTAACTAGTAAAAGATACGTGCAATTTACGCAAGTAGTTTTTGTACTTAAAAAAAAGTTCCAGTAAAAGGTTAGGGAAACATTGCATCACAAGGAGTGCGTTTTGTGTCATTTTTTTTTGTTCCCTACATAAGAAATTTGAGAATTACAAAAAAAGATCGAGGTAAATTTCGGTAAAAGGGTATTTTTATACATCTTGAAAATTTGTCACATATTTTGAGCACTTCTGATATCATTTAAAAATCTATTTAGGTTCGTTGTAGATGTAGTGTCTCCAGATCTTTTTGGTCGATGTTTTATGTATAATACTGTTTTCAATGATAGATTTTACTCAATGAAAATCTTTTAGTGACAAAAAGTCTGTCGATATCAAAAATAAAGAACCCCGCTGTTTTCTTGTGAAAAATGGATTTCAGCTAAATTAGTTGGAATTTTGCAGAGTGGTAGTTTTCAACATGGCGATCAAAAGTGTCAATGGGGCCAACCTTCAGGAACCCCTACGGAACCCATAAATCTCCGAAGTAGGGGTTATTGATGTGTATGAAAGGACAACATAAGTTTGAAAGTAATATTGTCTGAGAACAAGTAAAAGATGTTGTTAAGATTTCTCCCAAACTGGTCTATGGTGATTTGACCTTGACGGTGACCTTGAAGATTATTGTCAAGGTCAAATCACCATATGCCAGTTTGGCAGAAATCCTAACAACAGCATCTTTTAGTTGTTCTCTGATAATATTAGTTTAAAATATTCCCATGTTTATCAATCGGGGCTTTATGCAAAAGTTCGATTAATTTTCCACAAGAAATTTGCGGGGTTCTTTCATGATGCTCCGCATCTAGCTCCATTTTCATTCTGTGAAAATCTGTCATGAAAAACAAATAAAACTATGGTGTAAAACTTAATTATTCTCATTAATTATGTTAAGTAAAAGTAATGCATCACACTTGGGAGAGGCGTAGTGGATTTTTTAAACTATTGTTTGAAGTTATTGTGGGCTAGGTTAGGTTTACTACACAAGCTACAAACGGCTTTCTTTGCGAAGCATTATACTTGGTCATGTATTGTTTTTATTTTGTGACTTTCTCTGTTTTATGGATCAAGTGTTCTGCTTCTCTATAGATCGACTGATTGAAAAAATCTCTTGTAGTGTTGGCACTGAAATTCTGTGTCGTTCGTCGTAAATATTGTTTTTGAAAAATACCTACTAAGACATTCCAATGGCAATTGATTCAAAGGAAAATTCCTTTTAGCGTGCCATACAACAAAAGAGGATTAACAGAAAGTTGAAGGACACAACATCTTAAATTCGTCAGTAACGACTCTACACTTCACACGAGAAAAAATGTCGTCCATGTCCCTGTTTCATTTTATAGTTATTCAACAATAGTTATTCGGGCTTCAGTCAACAGTGTAGTAAACCATTCAATAGTTCATCCATTCACAGTCAAAGCATATTAAAAAGATTGTTGAAAAACGGAACCGACCTAACCAACTTTGAGGATCGACTGTTAGAGGCACAATCAATCCTACCCACGCAACTGTTTCCCTTGTTCTTTCAAGCTGATTAATGCCTCATCTGGCGGCGTTCAAGTAAAACAAAGGTATCTCCAATCGCTGTCCAGTTTCACCACGCCGTCTCGTGAGCACACACCACGGTACCACCTGATCTGACTTCTATGTTTACCGAGTAGATCGTGGGTATTTAGCTCGTTTTTCCAAATGAAATTGTGAATAGAGAAAAAGCTGTTAAGAAAGGTGCATTAATTATTTTGGGGCTAGACTTGGACGTTTGTGCTTTGAACATCAGAGTAATTGACAGCCTCCCTTACGAGAGGGTTAGAATGTGTGCTCTTGTTGCAAGTTATTTGATAAACTCCCCTGAGGGAGCTCTATCTTAGCAATATTTCCTCCTAGCAGTGGGTGAAGTCGTTTAATCCGTTGTTCAGAAAACAAAAATTTTAGATTTTTGTATTCCTGATTCATGTCATAAATTCTTGGGATGCGATCAATTTGAAACAGATATATTAAAAATAAGATGTTTCGGCGACTTTAAACGCCATCTTCAGTTACTTTTGAGTTTCCAAAATAGTTGGTAAAAATAATTACATTTCTGCCAATCATTGATCTACACTCAAACTACATCTATCTGTTTTTGTTGTAGATTTATATAGCATTAATGATACAATATCAATGTTCCACAATATATCACAATATTTTATGTCTTCAAGTCTACATATTTTTATACAAAATTTTACAACTACGAATTCTGATTTTCCCTGAAATATTTTTCCAATTTCCATTTGAACATTTTCAAAATGACACACATCAACAATTCTATAAAATTAATTTATATTTTTGAAATAATATTCATAGTGCCCTTCATATTTTAATTTACTATCTACATATATTCCAAAATATTTAAATGATTCATTTAATTGAATTTTTTCATGATTGATCGTGAACATTTTCCTGTAAGCATTTAACCAATTAATTATGTTTTTCATATCATTTAACAGCTTTATGCAGTTTCATTTTTTTTATATATCAATCATCAGAAAATATTGGAATTTTGCAGTCTTGTAAAACATCAGGAATATCGTTAGTATATAAAATTACTAGTAATGGACCTAATTTGCTACCCTGTGGCACACCTGCGAAATGTTTTTAATGCTCGATAATGTGTCGCCAATGTTGGTTATTTGATTTCTATTGATTAAAAAATTTTGTAACATGTTGAATAGTGAACCTGTAAATCCATAATAAAGCAATTTCGTTGACAATTTGTCAATGCCAGTTCTCTCAAATCTACCACCATTTGAAAGTTTTATATTTTTTTCTAAATCCTACTTGAAATTTTGTCAATATGTTGTTTTCTTCAATGTATTTGATGCTTTGTTCATTAATGATTCCTGTTAAGAGCTTCACGACATTTGGCGGAAATGTAATTATGTTTACCAACTATTCTAGAAACGGATGGATAGATAGACAATCTTTATTGGTCATAGAAAATCATGACATAAGACTTGTCGACCTTATACATTACATAAATAAATAAATTGCATTTGATTTGCTCATTATCAGTGTGTATAAATATCACAGTGTCAAGAAATAGACAAATAGCTAAAACAAAACCTCAAAAGATCACCGAAAAATTTAGATTTTTTCCTTGCTTAATTTTGTAGTGCATAACAAATATATTAAGAAAAATTACAGTAAATAGATAGATCGATTAAAACATTTCACGAAGAGAAAAAATAAACTTCCTCTCATACTCGCTATAATCATAATATTGATAATCTATCATTTTGCTTTTTGAGATCCCCCTCACGAATGTGAAGTCTATTATTTCTAATGTCCAGAATTATATTTTCTTGGATTTTTGAGTTGTCGTCAGGCGGATCATCGACTTGTTTGTGCATGTAACTATTATTGTGTATTCGTCTTATTTTTGCGGTTACTGTTTCTGCTCCTTTCAAAGTTGTTGTCGCGTGTTCATTTCAAAGTTCCTCAATTCAGCTGGAGAAGATGAAAGCTGATCGTATTTTTGATGATTTATTTCTTATGCAGTTTTAGTCCACAAACACGAAATTTAAACTCAGCCCAGTACAACACAACATGTTTAGTCTACATGTACCGGAAGATGGCGCCAATATGTTGTATAATAATAATGTCTTAAAAAGTTGGTCCTAAGAATTTATGACTTAAAACAAGTTGAAAGATATTTACTGAACATACTAGTTGCGGAAAATTTGAATGCAGGTTTCAGTCCTCGCACGGTGGTGCCGCGGTGTGTGCCCCAAGAGACGGCGTGTTGAAACCAGAAAGCGACTGGAGATACTCGTACCTTATCACCCCGGCTTGTTTCACGTGAGCGCCACATGGGCATCAAGCAGCTTGAAAAAACAAGGGAACAGTTCTAACAGTCGCTCCTGCAAGTTGGCTAGCAGCTGGTGGTGTAGACTAATTGGTTAGGATTTCCTAAATCGCATACAGAACATTTCGTGATTCAAAATTGTTCTATTTTTGTTCAAATGTTCCAAAAGAATCAATACTTTTTTCATGTTTGGAATGGATGTGCTATACGTGCCGAAAGATTGCTAAGATTGGCCATACTGCCTATAAATATGATGAAAGAATAGTTTGAAGTCAAGACGATAGTCGTCCAGTTTGGTTTGTTCCGTACCTGAAGCAAAAACTTGAAGCCGGATGTTATGTAGATAATGATATACATGGAGTACTGTATGATACAGGGGTGTCTTTTGTATTTGAGACTTGAAGGGTGGCAAAAATGTTGAAACAAAATGGAATAAAATATCTTGTTCAATATACATTGAATGGAAATCTAAAAGGGAAAACGATTTTGGCCAGCGCTGTATATTAGAAAAGCCTTTATAAAATTGTAGAAGAACACTTGAATGGTCATATAACTTTCCAGTCCAGGTATAACGTTTTTGAAACTATGCGAAAATTTTGTCGTTTCATTTTTGTCCACTCTTTGTATCTGGTGTGCATTTCTTTGAATGTTTTTCGTCCAACCATGCTAGTCAGTGTTTTTTTGTAAACTATGTAAGTTTTTGCAATGTTTGTTAGTTTCTAAAATAAGCTCGGTTTTTGTCAATGGTTGAGATCAAACATGCATTGTTTGTGAGGCACTAAACATTTTTCAGGATGAAAATTAAATTCACAGAACTAAGTTATAGTTTGAACTTAATTCTTAGGTTCTTATAAACCACTAAAAACACTTTAACTAACAAAAATTGAATAGTACCTACCTTTTTTCACCTATTTAGTATGCATGTACCAATACAATATTTTCTATTTTTGGAAAATATTGTTATTTTACTACAATGGTTTTAGGGGAAACAGTTCATTTGATAAATTTTCGAAATATAGAGACGCATTGGGAGTATAGATCACATTCAGAATCTCATTTAAGGTGGGGTATTTTAGGTTAGGAAAATTTCGAACTGACAATTCTCTTTTGATTCTCAAGTAAATTGTGTAAGCTCCCTCGGATGGTCCTAAAAGCTAAACAGCTAGGGGACAATTTTGAGCTTTTACGGAGAACTTCTGTTTCTGTAAAGGTATAAATCACTTTCGGTCGATGATATGGTTTACTGTTTGAAAATAGAAGTTATTTATAAAACCTGTAAGTTTATCCCCTAGGTGATTAGCTTTTAGGACCCTACACAGGAGATTACTCGGTTTAGCTGAATATCTAAAGAGAATTGTAAATTTAAAATTTCCTAACCTCATTGTCCTACGAATCCTGCCTAATTTGGGAATAAATAACGGAAGACTCTTTGGAATTTTTTATGCTAATTTCTGAAATTTTCCTTGGCAAAAATCGAGCTGGAGCGTTT